AAATAATATATTATTTTATTTAAATTATTATTATTTTATTTACATAGTATGGTTAAAGAAATGATTAAGATTGATTTATGTGAACTTTATTGATCAATTAAATTATTAATTGATTTATTTCCTAATGAATGATGCAATTTTTAGAAAGTAAATAATTTAAATTTTATTTTTATATGTGAATCATAAGAAATAAATATTACAATCCTATCTTCACATGTGAAAGTAAAATAAAAATTAACTTTTTTTTTTTTTTTTTTTGAGGAGAGCTCTTCTCTTATACAAAAGGGCTCTTCTCTTATCTTTCCATTAGAGATCACATATTTTTTTTATTATCTATTTTTATTCATATTTTAAATTTTTAATATTAAAATTATTATAATTTATATGATGTATAATAATATTTTAACTTTAAATTTTTATGATTAATAAATAATGATCATTGTGATGTTAGAATGATTACTTAATTTAATAATAGTTCTAATTCATTTAATTATATATATATTTATATCTTAATTATGTATAAATTTTTATGTTTTAATTAATTTTAAATTTAGAATCATGAATCTAAATTAGTTAATTTATGAAAAAGAATAAATTTGAGATTAATTATTATTTTATAATATTTAAAATATTTTTAAAAAATATAATAATCTAATTTAATAAGAATGATCAAATTGGAGTATGAGTTAAGTTTCTTTCGTCGGACTAGTAGTCCATGTGACTAGATACAACTTAACCCATGTGATTATGTATGATTCAACTCATGTAGCTAAGTATGGTCAAATATTGTCCTAACTCATATGGTTATGTGGCTAGATATAACTTAGCATATATGGTAAAGTATAATTCAACTCATGTGATTAGGGATGACTTAGCATATATATCTAAGTACAACGTAACCCATATGGCTAAGCATGATTCAACCTATATAGTCAAGTATAACATAACCCATGTGGCAAAATACGACCTAGCTCTTGTAGTCAAATATGATTCAACCCATACGATTAGGCATAACCTAACCCATGTGGCTAGGCATGATCCAACCCATAAGCCAAGTGTAGCCTAATTCAATGGTAAGACTCAACCTAAATTGTGAGTGAGATTCAGCATAGTCCTCGAAACTATACTCGTCCAACTATTCAATTGACACTAGATACATTGTCATCCCTCTATCTAATCTCTTATACCTCAACTCAATTTGTCACTTGAGATAAGCATATGTGGCGCACATTACTCGTCTAGGGCTTAGGTGGGTCATTTTAGTTTGAGTTAACACTACATGATACTCCAATTTTCTTTCTCTTTATTGGTTTGAGCTTATTAGTTGATTAAATTAAACATAATTGATCGGTTCAAACCGATTTAAAGTGATTTCAAAACAATTGGCTCGTTAAAACCCACTTAACCTAATTGCAATCAATCAAATCTAAATTAGACCGGTCCAAGATGATTTCAAACTAAGTTTTATAAGAATTTGAGGTTGGTTATGTTAGGTCCTAATTCCATTTAGTTTGATTCAAGTGAATTGAGTTATTCTAATTAAGATTTTCATTAATTGAGGACGGTTGATTTGATGAACTAAATGTGTCATTTAGAAATGAATAGTGATTTTTTTATTTTTTAGATTAAAACAATGATATTGATATTGTTATTATAATATAATAAATATGACTAGACTGAATAATTCATATTGGAACTGTAACATATGAAAGAAGTTACGAGTTCATTAAAGTGTGGAGGCACCAATAGACAAACCCTAGTAGGTCATATATGGTCCCTAATGATATCTTATAATATTGTTTCTTAGATACATATATGAATGACTGACGAATGTAAATGAATGATCATGACTAACTATGTATCATTACCAAGAAGATAAAACGATTACCTTTAAGGATTAGTGGACAATCAAATATGATGGTTAAATGGTTTCTTCTTATAATAAAGGATAAATACCATTGTATCCATCATCTAGAATATGCATATCCATCTACTATTAGAAAAGTGTATTATCAAATGTAACGTACGCTTATATATGCCATCAAGATATGTTGAATATAGCTAATGCATAATTTTATTTAATATATAGGAATTATCACTATTTTTCTTATATATAAGTTTCATAATAAGTTAATATATTATTATCTTATATTAAACTTTTGATATTTGTATATGTTTTACGAGTATTGAAGATTATTTTAAAGATTTTTTAGGAGATTCCTACCGATTGTTGATATATTTATTTTATATTTATTTTTAAAGTAATAATTTGTAATATATTTGAGGCTTGGTTAAATGATATTTTTTGTCACCTATGATTCTAGTAAGAAGATATGAATTTTCTTTTAGTTAAAAAAATTTAGTGTCGATAAAGATAGAAATTTTAATTCAACAATTATGAAAAATAAAATGATGATTTTTTTTTAAATTTAAGATGTGACACATACCCTTTGATTTTTCATTACATCTCTTTCATTTTCCGGATCAATATTTCAATTTCACTTTTTTGTGTTTCACATATTAGTTCATATCATGTTTTCTATTACGTATTCGAGTTGTTAAATATCATGTAGTATAGTGGTAGGATAGTTTATGCAAGCAAAAATAATAAACTAGCAATTTTTACCATGTCACTAAATAACGAGACTAATGTAGCTATTTTTATTTATCCTTGTAAAGTTAAATTGCCTCGAAATAAAGCATACAACAAATAGAATAAATTTTATGTTTTCTTTAGTGAATAAGTTTATCTTAGCATGTAATCTTAAGTCATTCTCATTTACTGTCTTTAATCATATTCATTTAGCCATTAAAAATTACCCAATTGAAATTTAGAAGGAAGTAACTAAGAAAATAAAATGAATGTTATAAAAAAAAAACTAATTTTTAGATAATCTACTCTCTAAAATTTAGACATCTGTTTAGCATGGCGATCAAAATTGACCCTATCATAATTGAAATCATTTCTTTTGTTGAGATTAATACCTGTTGTAATGAAACATTATTCTCTATAATAATTTTTATCCCACCCAACAAACATGTAGTGACATCCAATAAGTTCTTGGTTGGACCAGCATATAGAAGATACAATTGAGGATTGCAGTAGGTTCACAAGTTTTCTATTGGAGGATAAGCCAAGAGTCCAATTTATCATACCATTATAAATTCACAATATTAGGGAGACCAACTTGTACTTTCTGGCCCCCCTTAGTTCCATCCATGATCATATGTCCAATCACAACCATTATATGCAAATATGATAATATATTTTAGAACATGAGAAAAAGGAAATTGAGAGGTCAAAGATGGTGATGGTGATGGAGTGGTGTAGATGTGTGGGTCTAAATGAAGGTGGAAAATATTCTTGTCATATATTTTTAAATGATTAGTAGAGAAAACATAAAGGGTTGAGCTCTTTTTTTTTTAAAAAAAATCCATGTTTGATTTTATAGCAAGAAGACATGTGTCTTTAGTGTACAAAATAAAGTTTGCTAATGAACTTGAATATAAAATTTAAATAAATTTAATAAATTTTAAGTTTTAAATATTATGTATATGAAGGATAGTAAGTTACTTAGGCATAGATAAAGTAATAAAAATATAAATCAAAGAGAAATATTATACTTAAAATGTTAGAATTATAAGTGAGATTGAAATATGAGTTTAAATAAAAAATATATCATTATTAAACCAAATTAGATTGAATTGAAGTTTTTATAACCTTATAATTATATTAGTAAAAGATAAAATAATAAAATAATATCTAATTAGATTAAATCCTAGACCTAAAGGTAACATCTTAAATACAGCCTCGTTCTCTTTACCAACTTGATAACTTTCTTTCTCTCCTTCTTCGTTTATTCTTTCAGTTTTTCTCGTAAATATTAGGAAATACTAGCTCTAAATAAGGTTGAAGTAAGAAAAATCTAACTCTTCCCAAACTATATCTATGATTTCGATTTTATAGATTATACACTAATATTTTTAAATGTTTTGAGTAACTTAGACTTCAAATATATAATTGATTTTTAGATATATTTTATATAAATCTTTTATGATTTTAAGACCTCTTCTATGATTTTAATTTGATACTAGCTCTAAATGTTTTGAGTACTCAGAATCCCCTATTTTCTAAGAAATATTATATAAATCTAGTATGCCATAATTTTGTATAAATTTGGTATGTCGATAATTTTAAAATATTATATATAATATGATATATATCCACCTAAATAAAATTATAAAAGCTTACTAAGTGATTATTTACTATAAATCATATTTTACAAAAAAAAGTGAACATGTGCAAGTTTATACTAGTACATATATGAACGAGGACTTATGAATATTTATTAGTACATACATTTGGATATATTATATGTGTATATTTTTCTCTTCGTTAAAGGTTATAATTATATATATATATATATATATATATATATATATATATATATATATATATATATATACACACTAGGAATCTTTCATTTTGTTTAGTAAATTAATATATTTTATTTTTAATATTATCTACACTCTTATTGATAAGAGTAAAAAAATTTAAAAAATAATATTTTATATTAATCATGCATATAAAATATAGATGAGACTAGGATTAAAATGTTACAATAATACCAAATATGTTGGTTATTTATTCATCATGGTAATCTACTACCCTTAGAGAGAAGCTAAACAATAACATACACCAACACCAACTTAACAATTCTACACATCAAGCTGAAAACAATGTTTAACTGATCTGGCAGCATTACATTGAGAAGCTAAACAGCCTCCTTTTGGACTATCCTGACTTGCGACTCCATTTCTGCAACCAGTCTTTCAATCACTTTCAGATAACCAATGTGTTGATTGGTGAAACATGTTCATAGGCCAAAAGCTGAACACCAAATAATCAAATGGAGTTGCATGAAACATTTCTTTGATATGACACGACTTGTTTTCTTTAAAAGAATGGGAAAAAAAATTACAAAAGCATCACAAACTGGTTAAAAGCAAGCAAGCATTTAACAATGCATACTTAAGATTCATGATAATAGGTGAGTCAGAACATTGGCATAAATAAGAAACATGATATTGGCTCAAAATCCACAAATGCAATTTAACCGCGAGGTACTTAATTGTTCTGCATAGGAACCCACACATCCCTTCAGCTAAAATATTCAAACTTGAAAAACTAAAAAATAAAAGATTACGGTTCTGCAGATCGTGCAATTGGTTCCCTCATCAATCATCATTTTTCTAGCTGCTCGAAGGTCACTCCTATGCAATGAGTGACCACCAGCATAACAGTAAGCTCACTAAACCAGGCAATCCAATTGAAGCCACCCCATGAGCAGAGTTGTCACTTTTGCCTGCGGGAGAACCTGACAACGATGTCAAGCAATTGTTCAAAGCACAAATGAGCATAAACAATCAAGATATTGGATTTTACTTGTCATGATTTTTATTCCCCATCAATCTTAGTTTTGAAATGCAATGATGTGTTTACTTCCAATATTTTTCAAGAAAATTAAACTTTATTTGAAACATGATTACTAATTTAGAATAGAGAACTGTTTGTTAAAAATGAAGTCTTCCAATTTATCAATTTTTTATATGCTCATAAAAATTATAAACAGCAGTTTTCCTAAATTTTTACTATTATAAACCTATGCCAGTAAAATCACTTAAATCATAGTATATGTCACAATATTACTTAAATCATTAGTCACTGTTCAATATGATAACCAACAACCTACATGACATCGAATAGGTGATCTATCTATCGAACCCGGACTGGGCAAATAACCCAGCAAAGACAAATATTAAAATATTTAAAAAGTAAAATAGAAAATAATAGGAGAATACAAAAATAATAGAAGAATACAATGTAAGTTCAGAAGACATGATGGAACCAGAGACAAAATGGTCAGTATGCACAACACTCAGATTTCTAGGTAGAAATGATAGAGATTTTTCTGCAACTTAAGCCAAACAGTAACAAGCAACTCATAATGGTATCTACAAGGAAGAGGATCAAAGAGAGAAGAAAGATGAACATAAAACTGAAGAGAAGAAACAATGAGGGCAATTCCAATAGTAACATTCCCTGTGTAGAGAGACAAAGCAGTCGAGAAAGGAGTTGAACTTTTGGGTTAGGTTCAGTTTAGGTCTTAAAATGGAATTGAGCTCAGACATAAAGCGATGGCCCCTGCTAGATTGCAGCTACAACTGATGGTGAGAAATGAAATGCATCTAGCACTATTTTCCAGGAGAATCCAAAATTAGAAATTTAGTGAATCTGAAATGGTCTGACCAAGAGAATATGGTAAGGCTAAAAGAAGAACAAGATTATACATTAATGAAAGTCCACTACTGATATATATCATGAAGGTAAAAAAATATAAAAGTATATCTTGATTTGATATTTAAGTGCATCTTCATGTGACATCTTTGCATCTTCGCGCGACATCTTTGTAAAATATGTATTGTTTTCCTGATTTGCATGTCAAAGTGCTGTTATGTAAATGCATGTCTTTTACGTTATCCTCATGAACATGTGTGAACATGCACACATGCTTATATGTAATATGTTATATACATCTATATGTATAAATATAATTGTAGAGAAAGAGTTTCTAAAAAACCTGCTACATAAATAATCTAAATTTTCTACAAGGAACACATTTGTTGAACAACATGGTAAGTGTTTGACATGGTGCGCATCAAAGGGCTTCAATGGTGTTGAAGAGGACATTTGGCCACATCAACGTGGCTAGTGTTTTTGACATTCTGTTTGACAAAGGGTGGTAGAAAGAATCTCTTTGTACAAAACAAAGCATAATATTGGTCAGAATGTTCAGTATAAGGGACTACTTATTGCTAAAATAATTGAAAAGTTGTGGGTCAAATATATCACATCCTTATATAGAACTGTCTAGTTGGAAAGGCAAGAATCTCCATGGCAAAGATGTCGGGCTACATGCATTGAAACACTTGACAGAGGATCAATGCCAACTAATAACAAGAAGGATGAGTGCACAGGTTTGTTCATCTTGCAATTAAAATGGAAGAGAGTCCACCACAAACTGATGATGCTGATAATGCTGAACTAAGAAACAAGCGATGATAAAGTAGCAAGAAACCAAAGGATCAGAAATATATAAAGAATTGACCAAGAATGAGTGGCCAAATGTTTGGTTGGTACCAGAGATGGCACTAACAAGGTGAATTGTTGTTGAGTTCAAAACATTTACATGATCTTTTTCATACTTTCCTCAAGTAGCTGAGATAAAAATAATAATAATCGTGTCGTATCTTGTGATAATCATTCTGCCCAGTGACGTCCTCCACATGTTTGTTCCAAACTGACACTAAATAACTTGAGGAAAGAAACCGACAATTTTAATTCATCAATCCGATGACATATTGTCCTAAAAGGGCTACTTATTTTCGATCACTGCAAAAAAAAGCAATGAGGTAGGCTGCTATAAATCTTCCTGAACCCAAATCTTACTACTATATTTGAATTGTTTCAAAAAATAATCCTTCAGATTCATATATTTTACACAGAATATTATCCAAACAACTGCAATGTTGGCTGCCTAATTAAGCATATAATTGTTACACATTTCTTTCGCAAAGTAAAAATGGGTAACCAGAGTGCTTTAAGCATTACAAGATATCTTTTTATTTTACGTGTCATTATCATGAAATATGTAGACAAGTTTCCCAAACTGATGCCTAAAATAAACTATTTTGCAGTTTGCAAAGTCAACAAGAAATTGTCTACCTTGAACACCAGAACTCTCTAGGAGCAAAGTATACCCAACCATACTAAATGAATAAATTATTTTTGACAATTCATATCGTTTGAATTTATTAACAATAAATAAATAAATATTGATGTCTTACTAGTGTTGTTCGTAGAGGACGACGGAGGTGTAGCTGCAAATCAAACAGAAAGTAAGTCCAAACAAAGTTAGCCTCTCATAACAGGATATATTTAAAAAAGGAAAAAATAAAAATATGATCTTTTCATTGAAAAATAACGAAAAATCCGTAAATGTTAATAAAAAAAATCCCTTTTCCGCGAGCATTTCATCTATTCGATATACCAATCGATGGGTACCGAAGCATCACCAGCCGAAACCCTCCCGAGGGTCAGATTGGGCGACCGGCAGGGGCGGCGGATTATAGTAATCCACCCAGGTTCTGATAAAGCAAAATTGGAAAAGGAGGGGGGGAGGCGGGCATAGCAGTACCGCTGGGTGAGGCTGTGACAGTGGCGCAGGTGCTCTGGTCAGCGTTGACGCCGCAGCGCTTGGCCATCTGTAGGGCCTGGGTGATGTTGACATTGAAGGCCTTGAGGACAGCGGTGTTGTTGAAGAGGGCGCAGAGGCAGGGCAGGTCGTCCTTCGCCTCCTGCTTCAGCGGCCCGCAGCACGTATCCGGCGGCGTCGTCGAGTTCAAGTATTGCGCACAGCCCACCAGCTTCGACGCGCACTCCGGCGTCGACTGCGCCGCCGATCCCGTCGCCGCCGCCGCCACCACAATCATCGTCATCGCCGCCACAAATCTGATGCCCATCTCCGCTCACTTCCCTGATTCCCCAACCCTTCCTTTTCGATGCGATCGGCGCCCCCTTGATATAAAACAGCGGGACGGGATCATCTGCGTGAGACATGGCAGCGTTCGCAATTGCCCAATCGCGCGGCGTAAGATTACTCGTCATTTTTACGGGTCCCACTTGTCCTATCGACCCCAACCGCGCCATGTGGCGCGAGAAGCCTGATGAGAATAGGTGAACCGCACTCGATACACGTTGACCAGATCGACGGGACGTAACGCACCGACTACCGGATCACGATGATGATGACGCTCCAAAAGGCCGAAGTGTCAAGATGTGTGCACCAAACAAAGCTACCCAGAAGTTTACCTTCATGATGAAGCGTACTACTCCGACGTCAGCTCCCTTTCCACCGTATGATTCTTGTGCCCAAACAAAAGGGTAGTTTCTAAGGTACGTAAGATATTACGACTCGTCTTATAAATGGTAACTATCACGTCGAACTGATTGTTGACTTACGTCATCCCGTTCATCTCTCCCGGTCAAACCAGCAAAGATCCGTGGCATCGAAGTCGCCATCACTCAATCAGGTAGAGAGACCGATTAAAAGAGGAATAATGGAGAGTTATTGCAGCAATGCAGAGGGGCTACAGCCTCCGTTCATGCAAAAACGACGAGGTTCTTTGACACTTAGTCGAAGAGAATTAAATATTATATTAGTTATCATATATTAAAATGAAATCCACGTTCCTTTGATTGCATGCATAATAATAATGGCACCCATGTCATCTTTATGTGTGATATGGTTTCAAGCATAGACCTAATCCAAGAGAATCCAACGAAGACCAACCAAGAGAGAGGGAAGGAGCCAAAATTGTTGTGGTGGTGGTGGCCAAGAACCCAGGGGAGAACTGATAGGTGTGAAGAGCAAGAAGTGCTTTCTTTGGTAATTGCTAAATTCATAAAGAAAACCTTTCTGCAGGTTATGGAGGATTAGTTGAAGGCAAGGAATTAGGTTTTTTCCGAGTCCAATTTGTGAGGGAAGGTAACAGATGTGCAGATTTAGGGAAGATTCTCCAGATTTAGGAAGACTTGCAATTTCTATGTTTGTGTATACATTTTATGATAACAAGTGCAGCATAATTACTTCTGTGGAATGCAAAAACAAATAGGACATGATAATCAACATAATATGCCATGAACAGATCACAGCATTGATTATTACCACATCACAACCTGTAAAGTTAATGTGATCAAAACCAAGGACAACTAGGCTTCATTATCTTACTCAATTTCTGCATGTTCGGGTACAAGAATTAGGAATCTTTTTGTTTTCCTGTCTCGTTTCCAAGTTTTAGATTTAGAACTGGATCAAAGAAGAAAGAAATTGGAAACAATAACAAATCTCCCAAGTAGGTTGGTGATTCAAATCACAGTTAAAAACAAACCAAGAAGAATAACAGATGTCTGACGAAGCTTCTTATCAGTGAAGCAATCTGATGTTTTCAAACTACAACAACGATAAAATGTTTATGCACATTACACCAAGAAGGCACCTCACAAATCTGCTAGCAGCCTAAAGCTTGTCGTGAAATTGTATATACTCCACATTGTCAAAAACATTCACTCAGAAAACATATTTATGCTGTCCCCCAGTTTTGTTAAGTGTCATCTATCTGATGATACTGGATCAGCTACTGTTATAGTAGGTGTCAACTTCCTTTGGCTGTTATCTGTGTGGCTCTTCTCAGTGTCTCTACAACTTCACTCATTGAGGGGCGAGCTTTGGCGTTCTTGGTGAGGCAGCTGTTGGCCAGCTTGGCTATTTCGCATGCAGCCTCCAAAGGATACTCATTTCTCAGTCTCGGATCCATAATCATGCTGAATTTCCTAGTATCCGGAGGAAATTGTCTCACCCAATCCAGTAGCCTCTGTTCACTCTTTGGACGATTTACCTCTAACGAGCGCCTACCAGTGAGGATTTCATACATTACGACCCCAAAGCTCCACACATCACTCTTAATTGTTAGATGCCCTGTCTCAATGTACTCTGGAGCAGCATATCCATGAGTTCCAACAACCTGATCAATCACAGTAAATAACATGAGTAACAAAAAGAGATTACTAAAAATTACTATTATGATTAAGCTGCTCAAAGTTGGAAAGGTATTAGAATCTAAAAAAGATTGCAAAGGAATACGAGAACGAGGATAAAAATTTGTAACCAAATTTTAGAAATTGTCAGTTACAAGGATCTAAATCTTGATCTGGTACCAGCCTTAATAACCTTCCAGACCAGTAGATAATGGTTTCCTAGGTTGTGTAAAATTTTGTACTATCCAGTAATATTGAATAAAATAATTAAAAAAGAATGAATGTATTGTACAGTCATCGAGTTATATGTTTTGAGACTAATACTAGGTCAGATTAGTAAATACCAGTATGTATCAATCAATATGATTAAGATTTGAAACCTTAATCTGTTATATGTATAAAGTTCTCTTTGTAATACATATGAAGTTCACAGGACTAATAGATCAATTAAAAGAAGAGACAGACGCTTTTATGGAGTATGCTTGATTTTCATCACGTTGTCTCCAAATTCACAGAAGATGAGATATCCAGAATATTAGGTATCAAAAAAAGATTATCGAAATACTGCTAATTGCATCAAAGAACTATTTGCTGCAAATTGACCGCAATTGGTTTCATCATCAATACGAATGGCCAATCAAAAAGAAGTATAGGAATATTATTAAGTACATGTACCAAAATTGGTCGATATCAAAAGATTCTCTGAATGTTCTTGAAACTTATGTGATGATTAATGCCACATCCAAGTCTGAATCAAAACTTGGGCGGCATCTCGAAGATGAAGTCATCATCCAAGTAGTCTTTAAGTTAGATATTGCCATCCTTTACCACCACCACCTAGCCAGACCCTCCCAGGCCATAGCTCATACATGGATTAAGGAGAAAATAACCAGATTACTACTTGTCTTGTATTTGAGCAGTGATTGAGATGTGATCATGGTGGTCGCATTAGTTTGGCATAGGGGTTGCTAGTATTTACTACCTCATGGAACAGTGGAACAGCAATCTTCATATACAGAACCAGCTAAAATCCCAGCATATTCAATTGAGTCCTGGGCTGATTGAGCGTCTTGTTTGGTATCATCAAACTGAATTAGATTCAGGTCTAATCCAAAAGAGTAAATTTAAGTTGGATCAGTCAAGACTCAATCCTATACCAAGTAGGAGCAGGTCTTGTTGACTAACAAAACCTTGACAAAAGCTAGTCAATCTCTTAAATCAGCTGCAATAAGACAACATAATGCATCCTTGCATGGAGTGGTGATGTAACATGACAAGCCTTTCCGAAATCACCCAACCATATAGGCGGCAGAGAAGGAGATCCCATGTGCAATCAATTTGAACTTTAAAGTAAGTAGATCATAAAGACTACTGGTTCAGTAACAACACACAGAAACATACCGCTGTAGTTACATGAGTGCGTCCTGCTGTGGGTCCCTCCCGTGCTAGGCCAAAGTCTGACAATTTTGGTTTGAATTCCTTATCTAACAATATATTGGAAGCTTTGAAATCTCGATAGATTACCTGCGAATTTCGTGATAGTCAAAACCTATGGGTAGGAAAAATCTAAATCACATTTACACAAGTTGCATTAGAAAGTCATGGAGTACATATCTAAGAGAAAGGTATTTAACAACAAAATCATATATTAAGAACATTAGGCCAATAGGACTTTGCCTTCATTATCAATCCTTTCTAGAGAAAGTTATAATCCTAAATTTGGATAGCTTTAATATCAAAGAACAGAGTCATGCATTTTCCAAGGGTCATTTTATGTTTATAAATGGATTGCATCACCAAAGTTTTATTTTTATAATTAGCATATTAGTTGCCCATCAGTGAAATGCCAAACTGATGTGAATTCCAATTGGATGTTTCTCATATCTATTAAAGCAGATTGTTTCCCTACATCTTAAAACAATCAATTTCTGATGATAATCATGTTTGTAGATCATCTGCAGCTGTAGCTGGAAATATGAGATCAACTTTGGTTTTATCATATATGTGTGTGATCGTAGTAGTTCTGAGTTGACAAAATTTATATAGCCACAGTGCAGGACATGAGAAACTGCCTACAGAAGAAAACGTAGAACAGGAAAGCATTTCTAAGTTTAAAGGCACTTTGAAGAAACCTGAACTTCTTCGAACCCTTTATGTAGATAAGCTAATCCTTCAGCTGCACCCAAAGATATCTGCAGCCTTCTCTTCCATGAAAGTACAGGATAAGACCTGTTGAATAAATGATCTTCCAAAGTCTTGTTAGGCATAAACTCATAGACCAATAGCCTGTGGATTCCTCTTTCATCATCTACAGAACAATATCCAATAAGTTTTACAAGATTTGGGTGGTCAACAACCCCAAGAAATTGAACTTCTGTCAACCATTGCTTGTGTCCCTAAATTTCAAGGAAGAATATCAGTAAAACCAGATATACAAAGAAACAGAGAAATCGAAAGGACGTGGCTGCACTAATTTGGCACGTCAAGAATAAAGCAATTTTCATCAAACAAAAAAGGCATCTGCCTGTTCTCAAAGACAAGTACATATATATCAAGACAAGCCGATCTGACTATGTCTCATGTTTAAGAATATCAGAATTAGATATATAATAGGCTATAGATGTAGGCAAGGCAAGTATTTTTACAATATGCTGAGTGCTGACAAGGATACCAGATACAAACTGAAAACCCTATACGCAATGAAGAATTAATTCATATTAAGCAAATCAACAGATTATCCATCATTTTCCATGCAAATAGAGTTTAGCATATCAATATCACAGTCATTTAAAATAAAAACTTACAATTGTTCAACTAATCAAATTATTTAAAAGAAAATATGTAATCTATAGTTTACCAACTCAGATCACAACAATTATGATATCAGACAACTAAAAGAAATAATGCAATCACAATATTTTCATTGTTTGAAAATCATCAGATGGTAATATCCACCCAAAACTGCTAATTATACATATTGGTGAACTTTCTTCTCCTTTCTATCATAAATTAACTTTAAGTTCCTGGGATTTCCTCAACCAATTCTATGTATTGTTTTAAGAATTGCCAGTTATGTGCCCTTCTAGAAAGGTTTTGGCATGGACCTCTCAAGCTGTGTCTTAGTAGATGCAACTAAAGCAATAATTTTGACAGCCACTGCCGAAAAATCTAGTAGATGCTGTCCCTACCGTTTAGATGTATCTCCAATCGCTACAATCCACACTATCTATTAGACAAATACCTGGGATGAGTCAGCCAAGACAACTTCCAAAAGAAGAGAAATTAGATGTATCTCCACCTTCACAAATATAAAACTTATCTAGTGAAGCACGAATCTTTCTTGTTATTAATCATCATCATAATCATACAATACTCGATATATCTGACAACCCGAGTTATATATAGCCAAAGGAAGTCTAGATTGCTTCTCTTTTCTTCGTACAACGGTAAATCGCTTCAAGGTCAAAATTGGCAGTCAGATAACAACAGTACCTGCAATCCTTTCTGGTTGAGTTTCTTGATCGCCACGGCCATCCTCTCCCCCTTTCCATCTGGAGGTTTAATAAATCCCTTATACACGCTCCCAAACCCACCTTGCCCAATTTTGAGCATCCGGTTGAACTCATTAGTGGCACTACTCAGCTCATCCAGCTCAAAAACGCGCAAGTTGTGAGCTTTCTCCTGGTACAAGTCCGGTATGCCTCTTCGCGGCGACGCAGATACCGCAGACTTGCAAGGGCTGATACTACCGGTCGACGCGGGCACAGATGCTGCTGCCTCACCTGGTGTTGGTGATGAGCTCTTCTTCTTCTTCCTCAAGTAACCAAAGCATGCCATCATCTGGTGTTCGTTACAGGAATGAAAGAACGAACCAAGAAAACTAGAGGAGATGGAAGTCCAAGAGGATCAAAGAAACCCTAAAACAGAGACAAGAACTCCAGAACACAGAAAAATTGGATGGAAATAGCAGCTGAAGGGAACGAAATCAGCGATCACTCCAAGCCAGAAGCAGCAGGAGAATCATGGATCAAAGACAACCAGTGAACGATGGATTAAGAGAAGATAGGACAGAGTTTTCAGACGCAACAAATCTCAGCACAATTATTCCTCGAGAAAATTGCTGTCACGGAAACATCTGATCCAGGTGTGCTAATCCACCGCTGCTCAGAAAAAATCGATCTTTTGCTCGCCGCTATACCCCATGTGGGCTACCAGGGTCGTTGCGTGTGGTTCCCTTTGGTCAGCGCCCGAGGACTAATAATGCTACCGTTTCTGTGGGCTATCGATGGCTTCCCGCTACCTTCCGACGTTGTGGTCTTCATTGGTCTGCCGCGTCTTGGAGGGTTTACATTCACATGCAAACTTACACCATGTTAAAAATAATAAATTAATATTTTTAAATAATTTTCTTTTTAAGTAAATTTCTGGAAATTTTTTTTAATTTTACTTTTTTTTCCATAATTTTTTTTATTTTTCTTATCGCATAACTCCAACTTTCTAAACCCTCAATCACTTTCGAAAGGAAATAATGCTATGGTCTATGGTTTTTGTTAGACCATATTGGATTCATATATGGAAATAATGCTACAAGCTACCCCAGCTTTTATGTGGAAATAGAGAGACTCTTTAAAGAAAATTGCCCTTGAACTTTGCAAATATCATTATTTACCCTTCAAATTACAATATAATATTTATTCCTTCAAATATTTAAATCCTCCATTTAACATCCATCTAATAGTAAATTAAATACTTTTAGACATAGTTGTCGACATTTAATTTGCATAAAAAATTTACATCCTTCCTAACAATCTTATGTTTAGTCCCACAGAAGTGAAATAAGATCACTTCATAATATCACATGCAAATTATGGCTCCTTAGAAAAGCCCCCCTGCCAAATTCATGCTTGCAAAGATTTCACATCATATGGTCGATTGAGCACTCAATTTTAAACACTGAATACAGGATTTAACTCTCCTGCAAGATCATAGTAGCTTCTAAATACTGTGGACATATCAGTATCATAAATCAAGGAAATGAAGTAAAACAGTGTAGATGGTATGGGACTTGATAGATCAAGGGAAAAGGTTCTAACATTCAGAATGTGAAGGAACCTTGTAAGAACATGGACAATGATAAATAATTTGAGAACAAGTGCAGCGCACCTCATCTACACAATTTAAACCTGACAAAGATTACAGAATGTCATTTTCTCTTCTTGGAAGACTGCAAAGATGTTGCTGGAGGCATTGGTCTCTTCTTCACAAAAGCACTTGTTCTGCTCTCTGGTTCATTTTCATCATCGTCGCTTGGTGAATTCTCTTTAACTGGGCTAGCTTTCTCTACATTTTCAGAAAGTTTCTTCTTTGAGTTCAACTTCCCAAGCAATTTCTGTTCAACTGGATCACTTGAAACTGCCGCTTTCATTTTTGGTGTGATTTTAGCTCCCAGACCTAACCTACACAAGCATTAATCAACCAAATATTGAGGCCCCAAAGAATATCTTGTCCAAAATAAATATTCTCGTATGCATATAACATAGTGGACACCTCGAAGGTCGACCCTCAAATTCTACTTCACTCTGCTCATAAATCGCTGGTCTGCTCATATTATTAACCCAAGCTTCGGCCTGAAAACCATGCTTTCGTTAGAACATGATATTGAAATTGTTCAATGCAACATTATGGTTTCTAATGCATATTGTGTTTTATAACAATTTCCGAGCCATACTGGTTTTACAATTCATCCAACAACTATTCGTATTGAGTCCAAAGATGATATGAGCTGTATGGTTCAAATGCAAGTCCATACCACCACGCAAATAAGAGGATACAAGTGCATGATTCATGGTTGCAAGGGATTCAATTATAGCGAGCATGAATGGTGATGGAATGGGAATATCATTGGCTGTACCTTTTCAGGTGCTTCTGAAAACTAATTTGCACCCATTCAAGCCCCAAAGTCGAAGATATTAATTGCTGAAACTTGCTTGCTACCTGAGAGGGATTCTCTATGGCTCTTCCATAATGCACTGAAATGAAGTGTCTTCTTGGTTGCTAGCTACTACCGGACTATCCTGCTGCTAACTTCAAGATTTATGGATATCAAATTGAAAAGAGAATGCCTCACCAAAGTAGAAGTTACCTTCTTTCATTAATTTGGCCTACAATTCTAAGAACTCTACTTTGTAAATCATAACCACAATATGGATTGATTTTCCTAACAATTTTTCATTGCATAACTGCTGAGACACCTACTATTCCTCATCCTTCTGTTTACATAGCCATCGATGCCTCTTTCATTTGGAAAACATTTACTTATCTAAACCTGTCTTATTTCCAAATTCCGTCAAATACGTTTTCATGACTCTTTATATACATATTGCTTCAGCCAACCAGATCATGTGCTATGTTTCTTCTTCACAGCAGGTGATTCCCATCTTTAGGTTTGAATGATGTTTGCAAAACTGAAACCTGTACCATGGCCTGTATATTTTGAACGACCAATACCATCTTCTTTCTATGAAATTGCCTAAAGAAGAGAATCCTCCTTGTCTTATTCTTTCCCTGATCTATAGGTCCATAAACTTGATTAGTTCATATTACAAGATTGTCATAATGATTATTATATGAGGCTTTAGACATTTAACAGGATCAAAGATTTCCATACAAACAGTCCTAGACTTTTACAATAGCTTCGCTGAAGTATTTGGGAATTAGGACTGATAACTCTATATTTCAATTAAGTCAAAGCAATGCTTAAGATTACAGGAACATTATTCACTTAAGCTCAAGAGCACCTAAATGGAAGGACCTTCTTAGAAGGTTCCCACCAACAAAAGGTCCTATAGCTTCTCATGCCACAACTACCAATGAATTTTTTATTCCTAAGCAGAGACCGATTTTGGCACCGCCATTTAATTGGATGCATGCTTCCAATTAGTCATTCCAAAAGATTTCATCGAAGATGATGGTAGATTATCCACCAAAAAACTAACATTTACCAAATTAGCTAGAGGGTTGCAGGGAAATTAAGCATCTGGACACAGAAAAACAACGAGAAGAGTAATCTACCGAAAACTAAGGTGAGATCAAAGGCTTCTTACCAATTTCAGCGCCTTATCAAGTTTCACCACTTTAGGTGGCGCTTTGCCTTTGGATTCGGTGCCCATCGACTTTGAACTGTGGTTTCGATCGCAAAACCCAAGATCAAATGAAAAGAGGAAGAGACGAGATTAAACCCTTATCTTCTTGCGTGTGCGTAGAGGTACCAAAGTCCTATTCAATTGAGGTATCAAACACCGCTGTCGATCAATCCGGTGCAGTCCCAATTCCTGTTTGTGTTGAAGCGCGGTGGTAGCGGTTCGAGCCAGTAGCCAGAGCGTTCTTGGAGGCGGAAAGCGGCGACCTGCAGCCGGCACGCTTCGGGGCAGGACGCAGTGGCGGAAGGAAGAGGAGCTTATCGTGGTTCCAAAGAGGAGGTGGGCGGCGGCGGAAAGCGAGTAAAGACGATGGGCCAACCCACTTGTAGCCCTGATCACGGGAATCGAACCGGATCAACGGCTCGGTGATTCCAAATTTAACCGAAATCACTCGATTCCGGTTCAAGGTTCCCCGGTTCGATTTTAAATCGGCTAAAAAAGTAAAAGGTAATATATATATATATATATATATATATAGTGATTAATATTTTATATTTAAAATTAAATGATCTAGATCCAAGTCTTAGTGAAACATTTTATTTTTTTATCCATCAAAAGTGATAATTCAGTTCCAATTCTATTTTTTATAGAAAGGGAGATGAGAAAAACATCAATGAGTGATTGAGGATATTTTTATTATTTTTAAAATAAATATCTATTAAAAATAAAAATATAAGATTATATTTATGCATATGTAGCATATTTCAAATTCATAATCAAGTTTTGTGAAGATGTAGAGGTATGTAACATAGATTCTACCAAGTCACTTGTTTCAAAACTTCCCTTATTTTGATAATTTTAGAAATTTGTCTCAAGTCCCACCTTTACCACATATCATTGCAAAATATATAATAAATATCACAAATTATAAATATTTAGTGATATCTTACATATATTTATATATATCAATAATTAAATAATTTTCTCTTGTTTGGAAAATATTTTTTTATAGCATGTTTTGTTAATCCTAGCATCACAAAAACAATAATTCTAGCATTTTTATTAATGGATCTTTAGATTGGATCATATCAGGGATTTTTTTGACTATGACTATTTTTTTTTATTCAATCACCTAATTTACTTACAACTCTATGTATATAATACACAAAACTTCTGTCAATATATCTTATTTTTAAATATTAAGATAATTTTATTTCTATTTAATCATTCATATAATAAAAAAAATCTTTTTTCTGGACACCAATCAACACTCTCTAAATCTAGAATGATAAAGGAAGAGATTTGGTCATCCTCATGGATGATTTGGCACTGACTTGAATAGCTTTTAAGATCTATCAGCACTCATTGACCATGTTGGTCAACAATCCATCATTTCAAGGGGGCCTCCATGACCACCTTTGCATAAAATTCTAATAACTAAAGTACATTTCACATATGTTCCATCAAGAAATTGATGTGTTGACTGACCAAGTCTAAGGCAGCTTATCAGGTCCTCAATTCACATTTGCATGAGAAGACAACCCACTGTCATGTCATGACATGTTTGGACTTGTATGTTTGTTCAACAATGCCTTTTTTGTGTCAAAATTGTTTTTGCAACACTTTTAAATCTTTCTCTTACCTTCCTTGAGAATGTTGCAAAAGATTTGTGAAAACATGGTTTTGGAAGTCATGGTTGGTGTTCCAAACTTTATTGGAAAGCATCCTTAGGTCAAAGATGGACATCCTTTCAAGTGAAGAAACCAACGTGGATTATTAGTTGTCATATTCGCCATAAAGATGACAAATAGAGGATCCAAAAAGGGCAAACAAAAAGAAAGAAAATAAATGAAGAGAGAGAAATCACCTTTAGTGTTGCTACCATCCTTCCTCCTAATTGTGCATAACCATGACAATTTGAACTTTACTTTTTTTTTTTGGTAAGTTCAATTTGAACTTTACTTGATTCGATGTGTTCCAAATAGATTAAATTTGGCTTAATATAAAATAAAATAAAATTGGCATAAGATCTCACAATAATTCAACTTAAAAAATAAATTTATTAAATTATGAATAGTATATCGACACGACTATTTTAATTCGGTATCATTTTATAATTCACTTTTTTTGTTTTATCAGGTATGGCTCTAAGTATATTTTAACATGATTATACCAATTCAATCTAAAATTTTAAGTTTATTAAATTATATACTATATATACTATATATATATAATCTTTCGCTCACACATAAAGTGCTTACTTTTTCATCGCTATTTGTTTCATATTCAATCTTCTATCAGACGATAGAATTGATTGAGGTTGGATTGTACTTTTTTGGATTCAATTAGTGAGTTTTCGGTTACTTTGTCTAAAACCCAAACTATATCATATTGTTCAGATTGGTAAAGTAATTTAACAATAAAATTTTCGGTATTAAAATTGCTAAAAATAATAATGAATCGAAAATGGCGTAATTATGTTTATTATATGTGTATATATCAGTTATAATTTTTTGTTGTGAATTATATTTTCTCTTTGACTATTGTATATTGTGTGAATTTCCAATAAGAAAAACTTGGTAATGCCACACAAAAAAGGTTGGTATATGGCATTCATATGAATGACTCTTCAAAAAAAGAAGTTGAAATGATTTCCAATTTCCTTAAGATAATAAACATGAAGTAATGGTTCATGCAAGATTGATGACATTATTATCCCTTATTATGGCACATTTATTCCTCTCCCTCTCTCTATTTCTCTCCACAAATCTATGATTCACCCACGGATGGTTACTCCTTCAGGAAGCTAACCAATTTCTGCACCAAGAGAGACACCTCATTGCACCCTGGCTTGAAGAGGAAGAAGACGTGGTCTTCTCCCTGCGTCTCCCACAGCTGCGCTTCCCCACTCCACCCGCACTTCCTCAGAGCCTCGAAGTACGCCCTCCCCCTGTCCCTCAACGTGTCCTTCTCCGCCACCGCCACCATCACCCGCCTGCAACCCAGCCCCGCCAGGCTCGGCGCCCCATCCGCCAACGGGTTTAACCTCGGGTCGTCGTTGTCCGCCCCGCCGGTTATCAGCTGCCACATGCTGTCCACGGTGTGCGGCGGGATAACCGGGTGGTCGACGCGCCCCACCTCGCACGGCAGCCGCGTCGTCCCCCAGAAGTAGGGGTGCAGCAGCACCATGCTTTCCACCCTCGCACCGCCAACGCCGAGCCCCTCCGCGGCCACGCGCATCGCCACATTGTGCGCGATGTTCGCCCCGGCGCTGTCCCCGGCCAGAAAGAGACGCGTGAAGTCCGTCCGATCCTTGGCCAGGCACGGCTCGGGGCCACCCTCCGCGTGGGACGCCACCCACCGGAGCGCGCACCAGGCGTCCTCGTAGGCCGCCGGGATGAGGTGCTCCGGTGCCAGCCGGTAGTCCACGGACACGGCGATGACGCTGGCTGTGGACACGATGGTGTTGAGGAAGACGTGGTAGATGGAGGAGGAGGCGGAGCCGATGCAGAAGCCTCCGCCGTGGTAGTACACGAAGACGGGGAGCTTCGATGGCGCGTCGACAGCTGGGAGGTAGAGCCGGGCGGTGACGCCGGCGGCGATGGGGACGTCCTTGGAGACGACGCCGGTGGCGGTGTCGACGGAAGGAGGGAGTTGCACGTCGGCGTCTAAGCGCTCAATGCGGCCGTCCTTGTAGATGCGGATGATGGGGGCCAACTCGAGGGCGATCTCGTTGCTTGCTGCCATCGTTGATGTATCCTCTGAGGGAAGAGCGAGAGGGGTTCTGTTTGTGATATATATAGGAAAAGAAAGGATGAGATTCACCATTTTAGGGGAATGTTACAAAATTTATTTATTTTTTAGAAATTTATTTTTATTAATAAAATTATTTTTAAAATATTGATTTTATTATTTTATAATAGAATTAGCGATTTCATATTTACCCAAAAACTTATATTTCAGTATATTCATGTAAAACTAGAAAAGTTGTACATATACAATAATAGCATAACATATCTTAAAACACACAAAAACAATGCATGTTATCTTCAACTCCTCTATTTTCTTCAAATACTTGACGTAATTATTAAATATATATTTATTTTTTAAAATTAAAATTATTATATGATGGGAAATAGAATACAAAAGAGAAATCTCAGTGGTGAAAGAAAAAAAGGGAGACAATATTTTTTATATTTTAAAATCAAATTAGCTACTACTAATGATTTCTTTGTAAACTTGAGGGTAAGTATGTTATTTTTAAATTAAAAAAAATAGATACGTAAGAATTTTTTTTTCAAAAAATAGAAAGTGAGAATTGAGATCAATGGTGGTAGAAGAGAAGTGGAAAACTAGACTGGAAAGAGTATTAAGACTCTTCGATCAAATCGATGAGATGAATACTTGAGTACAAAGTTCACCCAATTCCTCGAGGATTATGATATTCTTTTCCAATAGATACCTCCTTATACACCTCAACTCAGTATTCGAAATGAGGAATCGTACACTGTCAAACATGATGTGGTCCATGATGAGTGTCATTCACCTACTCATCTCATTTTTGGGGATACACCCTAGAGATCGCAACTTACCTTCTGAATAGAGTTCCAACTAAATTGATAGTATCTACAATATATGAGATATAGAAAGGAAACAAACTCGATCTTAAGGTTGTTAAGATTTGGGGCTGCCCTGCCTACGACAAAAGACACAACCCCGATAAGTTGGAATCAAAGACGGAGCGATGCAAGTTCGTGGGATATCCCAAGGAAACTTGTATATATTATTTTTATTATCTCGAGGACCAAAATGTCTTTGTAGCCAAGAGAGCGGTGTTCCTTGAGAAGGGACACATTTTTGACGAAGACAGTGGGAGTATGATAGAGTTGAGTGAGGTTAGAGAACCTAGCTCAAGCATCACTCCACAGCCCGAGTTTGTTCAGGTACCTAGCACACAAGTTTCAACTTACGTATATTTGGCAGAATATCTCAACTTCCTGAGAGATATGTGGGATATATTAGAGGAGAGGATGTTGAGGATATTGATCCTTAGACCTACGAGGAGACTATTATAAGTATATACTCTGGGAAGTGGCAAGAAGCCATGAATTCTGAGATGGATTTCATGTACTCCAACAAGGTTTGAAACCTAGTTGATGCACCCGAGGGTATTGTACCCATTGGTTGCAAGTGGATCTTCAAAAGAAAGATTAAAGTAGATGGAAAGGTAGAGACATATAAAGCAAGACTAATGGCTAAAGGGTATCGTTAAAGACAATGTGTTGACAAAATATTTTTACCCTTAATCATATTAAAATCCAACTGAATTCTATTGGCTATTGCAGCACACTATGATTATGAGATATGACAGATTGATATGAAAACCTCATTCCTCAATGGCAACATGCACACTCACCAGATAAAGTATGCAGGTTGCTTTGGTCCATTTATGAACTTTTTTAGATTTAATTAGTAAGATTTTGATTACTCTATCTAAAACCCAAACTATATAATATTAGATTGGTAAAGTAATTTAACAATAAAAGTTTCAGTATTAAAATTGCTAAAAATAATGATGCATTGAAAATGGCGTCATTATGTTTATTATATTTGTATATATCAGTTATAATTTTTTATCGTGAATTATTTCTCTTTGAGTATTGTATATTGTATGAATTTCCAATAAAAAAAGCTTCGTAACCACACAAAAAAGGTTGGTATATGGCATTCATATGTATGACTCTTCAAAAAAGAAGTTGAAATGATTTCCAATTTCCTTAAGATAATAAACATGAAGTAATGGTTCATACAAGATTGATGACATTATTATCCCTTATTATGACACATTTATTCCTCTCCCTCTCTCTATTTCTCTCCACAAATCTATGATTCACCCACGAATGGTTAATCCTTCAGGAAGCTAACCAATCTCTTCACCAAGAGAGACACCTCATTGCACCCTGGCTTGAAGAGGAAGAAGACGTGGTCTTCTCCCTGCGTCTCCCACAGCTGCGCTTCCCCTCCCCACCCGCTCTTCCTCAGAGCCTCGAAGTACGCCCTCCCCCTGTCCCTCAGCGTGTCCTTCTCCGCCACCGCCACCATCACCCGCCTGCAACCCAGCCCCGCCAGGCTCGGCGCCCCCTCCGCCAACGGGTTTAACCTCGGGTCGTCGTTGTCCGCCCCGCCGGTTATCAGCTGCCACATGCTGTCCACGGTGTGCGGCGGGATAAAAGGGTGGTCGACGCGCCCCACCTCGGACGGCAGCCGGGCCGTCCCCCAGAAGTAGGGGTGCAGCAGCACCGCGCTTTCCACCCTCGCACCGCCAACGCCGAGCCCCTCCGCGGCCACGCGCATCGCCACATTGTGCGCGATGTTCGCCCCGGCGCTGTCCCCGGCCAGAAAGAGACGCGTGAAGTCCGTCCGATCCTTGGCCAGCCACGGCTCAGGGCCGCCCTCCGCGTGGGACGCCACCCACTGGAGCGCGCACCAGGCGTCCTCGTAGGCCGCCGGGATGAGGTGCTCCGGTGCCAGCCGGTAGTCCACGGACACGGCGATGACGCTCGCCGTGGACACGATGGTGTTGAGGAAGTCGTGGTAGATGGAGGAGAAGGCGGAGCCGATGCAGAAGCATCCGCCGTGGTAGTACACGAAGACGGGGAGCTTCGATGGCGCGGCGACAGCTGGGAGGTAGAGCCGGGCGGTGACGCCGGCGGCGATGGGGACGTCCTTGGAGGCGACGCCGGTGGCGGTGTCGACGGAGGGAGGGAGGTGCACGTCGGCGTTTAAGCGCTCAATTCGGCCGTCCTTGTAGACGCGGATGATGGGGGCCAACTCGAGGGCGATCTCGTTGCTTGCTGCCATCGTTGATGTATCCTCTGAGGGAGAGAGCGAGAGGGGTTATGTTTGTGTATATATATATAGGTGAGAGGAGATGAATGCAATGATAGGAAAAGAAAGGATGGGATTCACCATTTTAGGGGAATGTTACAAAATTTATTTTTATTAATAAAACTATTTTTATAATATTGATTTTGTTATTTTATAATAGAATTAGCGATTTCATATTTACCCCAAAAACGTATATTTCAGTATATTCATGTAAAATTAGAAAAGTTGTACATATACAATTATAGCATAATATATCTTAAAACACCCAAAAACAACACATGTTATCTTCAACTCCTCTATTTTCTTCAAATACTTGATGTAATTATTAAATATATATTTATTTTTCAAAATTAAAAATATTATATGATGGTAAATAGAATACAAAAGAGAAAGCCTAGTGGTGAAGGAAAAAAAGGAAACAATAATTTTTTATATTTTAAAATCAAATTAGCTAGTACTAATGATCAAACAGAGTTTTTCTTTGTCAATTCTAACAAGAGTGGCATATATGATGAATATTAATGAATATTTATGACATATTGATTTTGTAGGGTCAAGTATGTTATTTTTAAATTATGAAAGAATAGATATGTACACCACAATAACAAAATCATGTATAAAATATTACTAGTATATTTATATTTTATTGAAAATAGGAATATTACTAGCACAATAACAAACAAAATAAAATATTTATATTTTATTAAGCATAAAAAAACTCACAAACGAGCTAAGCTTAGCAGTCACACATACGAGATTCTAACGACAGATGCAACCTCAATGATCACCTAGTACACCTTGGCCACCCCTCTGTGCAACCGAAAAACCTACTTTGCGGCATCATAATCACCACAATTCAATAAGATTATGGAGAACTCTTTGGTGTTGGCATCACAATCAACGAGTTCTAACTGCTCTATCTCAATTATCATATCCGTTGATGTATGCATGTATTTTACAGATTAAAGTGAACTCTATTTACATATAGGGGAATTTGAATCTACATTAGCAGTCAAACAAATCATCCAGCAATGCTTTTTTCTTCACTCTTCTCCCAACGGCTAGAGGAGCTGACAGCAGTTCGGTTTCTCAACTTTGTGCGTGCCATCCGTATCACATCTTCAATTACAGTCCCTTGAGATGTCCTATCTGAGTCTTCATTGGCCGGAGAACCGATTATTTTGACCTGCATTTGCTCCTTACTTGCAAGATTGAGCACTGGTGCTTGTGGCTGGGCAGGAGAGACCGCTGGATGAACACCACCGGATGATGTAGGCCTCGACAGCACTGTTGATGTTTGTTGAGAGAGGTCCAATTGCTTTTGTTGAGCAACTGATGATGCAGAGGGTGCTTGCAATTGCTGTTGTATTTGCTGGCATTGCCATATGCAACATAACATTAAAAAGAATATAGGAACTTGTTTTTTTTCTAGGAAAAAACTTTAAAGATCATATAAGACAGTCATTCCAGTTAAGAGGAGCAAACTTCTAGAGATCATTAAAGTGCAATGACCTATGCTGAAGTCAATTAGGTTGTTGTTACACAGACTTCTGGAATCCAAAGGTTATGACAACAAGGTTAGGAACTCAGTTTCAGAAAAGCTACACTCTAAAACCACCAATATTTCAGTCAGGAGCCATGTAATCCTGCCAATCTGGACTCCTGAATTAGAAAATACATTCTAAAAACTCCTGAAGACAATGATTTGATGATAAATACCAATTCTTATTCATCAGTGATCAGATGACTCAATGAAGCAAACCATTTGACAGTGTCCAAAAATGAGGTTAAACTGAATGCAACTGCTCCGTTAGGTCATCAAGTAGGGATATCAGACTGTTCTTAATGTTATTCCAGATTTCGGTGCTTGATTCAAGAAATTATGAAATATGAACACCATTTGATTTTGACACCATCTGATGCAAGCAAAGGAAACATGA